TTACACTAACAAGCGTAGTTTGTTATTAAGACAACTCCGCCTAGAAAATTCTTTACAAACAAATATGTCTACTTATACTTGTACTATTAATCTTTATTTTATTTATGATAGGCTGCAATCAGCGTCGCAACGTTCAATTGCAATTTATTTTATCCTCTTAGGATCAGTTGTTCTCTTCGATAGTCTGCTGGTATATAAGAGATAAATAATGTACTAGTATGTATACATATAAGATATCTGTAATTGTCTGATGCTGAGGATTGCTGAGAGCGAAGGAAACCCAATAGCCTTGAATGAGTATTAACGGTAATCAGCAGATGGTAATATTCTTTTACATCGATAACAGGACAATGCAGAAGGGTAGCGTCACTAGGGTTCACAAACAGAATTCGAATGGAGTCGACTCGTCGAAAGAGCAGATCTTATTGCGGCAAACTGGCAAGGGTGCATCACCGGATTGCTCCTATCCCTGCCAGCCCCTGATGGTTCATCCCCTTTGACACCCGACTCAAATTCTATCCTGACATCGCTGTGACGTGAAGGGCGCACGCACCACCACGTCAATATACATATTTTGATGCTGGTGAAAGCCATAGTAACGTAAAAAATAAATATCACGGAATACAAACAATATCGACATTGTTTTTGCAAAGAAGGCAAACGTAGTATTAACACTAAAAGTAACAAGTCAGTGTATTTCACTTATTGCTTCTATATTTCCATCGATTTATTATTTTTTCCTGTTAGTTTCGCAACTTATATAAATAACTAATTTTTTTGTACTGCATTTATTTGAGAAATTTCCAATAATATGTAGAATATCATTGATTATACAAAAAGAAGTTAGTAAACTACGATTTCGCATAGTTTGTTTGGAAATCATTCGGTGTACAAATACTTTTTACACTCACTGTATAAGAAGTTCAGTTTCGGAATATGCATTCATCTACGACATTCATTCGTTTACGGTTAAGTAGATATTGCGTTGGCCGATTTTTGGGGTTTTTCAATTAGTCACGACATGTGCTGATAGATTACAGAAAATAATAGCGGGAGGGCAAATCACAGATGAAAGAGTATGTTTTCACAGGAGTGGGCAAGGGAGCCAATATTGCGAGAAAAATGGTTTCGTATTGTACCCATGTAACGTTTGCAATAAGGCACGTGACACGCAACCCGCCCGCCACGTGCCGGCCAATCTAAATCTAATAACACAAACAGCCTTACAGTAACATGTATTGTGCACGCTACCGTTTGGCGGCTGGAGGTAATAGGACACCATGTGAACTAATCGGTATGAAGTGGTCCTCCAGATCCTGTTTCGTTATTTGTTGATTCTGACGTGGTTTCTCTTGGGAGAAGAAAACACGGGAGTAGAAAACGTTCTTAATGAGGTGAAGGCGACGAACGGACACGGGATTATCCTTTGATAGACAGTGACTGTGCAATTTAATGTTGTTACGAAATATGAATATAATGTTCACCTAAATAAAAAATCTGCAAAGCTACAAATTAATTTACAAACCAAGTAAGAGGTACAACATGTTAACATTAGAATACTAAACAAAATGTGTTTAACTAGTAAATGGAATTGTCTATTGTGCTTCTTCTTGGAAGAACTCTGCAACATTCATTGTCGTAAGTATAAATTTGTTCAGTTACTTAATAATTCAAAGCGACCTGTCATTTATGTTTAGAATATGCAAATTCGGTTCTTTAGATACATTACTGAAACATTAAGCGTTTAAGAAGATTTAAGAGGAACATTTCAATATAATTCAAATGGAGGTTTAACGTACATTAGTTTCGTGCTATTAACTATAACAATGAACTGAAAAGCATGTATTAATTAGTTCAATACTGTTTTATTTGAAAAATATTACAAATAAATAAGCTTCGTTTTATTTTAGTCTTTTATTATGTGACTACAACAGTATTCGGGTAATAAATATTATTTAAACAATTATATAAAAACAAACACTTACATCGCATAACTACAAACAAGATTATAACTATGACTACTTCTTCTCTTCTATCTTATACAATTAAAGATACATATGAGATACGAGTATGCTGAAAATCAAAATTACATTTCATCATTTAGGAATTATCATTATTAAGGTGGAGATTTCGAGAAAATCAATGATCTAGATAACTGTACACGTGTCGTGAATTTAGTTGAATAATGTCTATTTGTGTTTATCATACTTACCGCTGCGTCAAACCAATAAAATTACTATTCCAAGTATGCAACAACGAACTAAACTGAAGATGGGTACCGAAAAATGAATCACAAACAATTGATTTTAATTCTCAAAAATGTAAGTTTAATTTATTTTAATATACACCGACGAGTGTCTGTACGCGCATACGCGTGCTCATGTGTGTGCCCGCGCGCGTTCGCTCGCATGCGTACAAGAAAGACGCGCCATGTAAAAGATGACATTGCGTGATCGAACGAAAGTGATAATCAATATTGCAACCAAGATCACAAGATCACAGAGCGTGTGGCTCCTAGACAACTAGTGCACCCTCCGCGGCGAAAGGATGATCACCGAGTCGATATGCAAAAAGGAACTGTACTACAATAATTTTCAACAATTGCTCGTTCCGACAAACGATACGATCTACGCTCGTAAACTGCTGCAAAAACTGTACTAATTAGGGTTTTCGATTCTGGTACATGCTTCGTATACTTTCGTGTGATTCGTTTGGTGCGGGATTTGTTTTGGGCCGGCGTATCAAACGATCCAAATCAACTATGCGTTTTATACAGTCGTCACAGGCCGATCCAGTCTTTAACGTGGTCCTTTCAGTTTTACTGTTTACCGATCGTTTCTCATTCGGACTTAATTTTCGTCTTCTACTATTTTACTACTTTGAGTCGCGACACGGACAGCTTGAGAGAAACGAAGTCTGATTACGTGGCTGATCGTGAAAAACATCGTGGAATGTGCAATTGGTGAAAGAATTATGCGCATAGTGAACTCTTTTTGGCGTACTCGAATCATGTCAAGTTTGAACTTCTTGTTTCGGATAAATGAACACAGTAGTCGACGCCAATTGACACTTTGCCAACCGGTCACAAACACATTTGCGTTCTCTGGGCCTAACTTTACTTTCTGATCATATATTAAATCGTGTTAACTATATCAATTTAGATAGTATTGTTTAATTTTTAACTAAAATTCTAAGCAGTGGGTGTAGGCACACTTGATGCACGTCTTAAAGAACTTCATCCTTGTTTTAGCTTCTCTTGAAAGATTTATGTTTGAGTAGGCTGCAAGACCATATTTTAGAAGAACAAATAGTAATTGTACGCCAATATAGCATTAATCTATGTGGAATAGCAAAGAGCATTCCATGTGGGTAAATGCTTATATTCTATATCATTCCCGAAAAAAATGATTAAGCATACATGTAAACAGAGTTTATCGAAGTTTATTTAAATATTTCCTTTGTATATTCAATTGCAAAATAGTTTCGTCTTGAAATAATCGGTTGGCAAGGTGTTAACAGGATGAAGACGAGAGAATGTACTCTAGTCGCTTTAATTTTGCATTGTCTTTTCCACCGACTATACGCACGTTAAAAAATGGATCGCCGCCATACCATCATACAATCATACGTATTAAGCTACGGACGCTCTATGATTATTTACACCTATATATAATAATTTTTCGTCCTACAATCACGTTAATATCGTTTCGTTGGATTCCTAGAAATAATTCTGTCGTTTTGTACATCGTAACAATATTTACAAGAAAATTTACAAATTACAAGTTAGACGTTACGCTACCTAGCTGATATTGGTTAGTCTCTTAAAACGTAGGGGTAGGAAGATAAAATTTCAAAGTCGAAAATGCTCTCTAAAACTAGGATGTCTGTTATTCAATGATAAGCGATATGTCCGTCAAGTGGTGTCTTATTCGTTCGACCCTCATCAGTTCTACGCTTGGTTTGATATAAAATTGCTCGACACTTCAAAAATACTCTTTCGTAAGTTTCGATCGCTCGACGATTCCATGTACGAGAAGAGACACAGGCTAAAGAAGGTGTTCGAATCTATCGATAAAAATGTCGTGTTTAGGATAGCTATGCCAAAAATAGCGATATTAATGACACGAGGAGACTATGGTCGTTCGATTGTTTGCCACGAATTAACCGTTTCGTTGGCAAGATTAGGGTACTCGTATACCACATGCGAAGGTGGTTTTTCCAAGTAGAAAGTAGAGAATATAGAATATAGTATGGAAAGTAGTTTTCCAAACGAATGCCCGACTTTATCATTGTAAGCCAAGTTGAGAATTATACTCAAGAGATCTAATGAAATTTATGAGAGTACTTTCACGCCCTTTAAAAATGACTTTCGTCTTTGCACGGCGTACGTACAAGTATAATGCTTTCATCAGAGAAGGGCTAATAGTTTGTCACCTCGTACAAAAGTTTCTTTGTAATTCTTAAAATCAACAATTTCAATGTAACTGTTTTTTTTTCGTTACAATAAACTTCATACCAACACGTTCGTATTCGAGGATCGAACCTTCTCACGAGCCCAATTAATCGTTTCTCGTTGAATCCACGTTGAAAGTTCCTCGTGATCGGATAAAACGAATCGCCATTGTCAAAACAGTTGTACACTTTCATGCTCGTAACATTAATTAGGAGTGCTTTAACCGAACGACCATGTCAATAGATGCAGAAAACACTGTGTTCTTCGATATGTATCATTCCTTAACTTATTGATCGTTAATCGTAAAACGTTATCAACTTTTGCACTGGTTTCGATATTCTCCAAAACTTAATTCATCTCTCAGCGCCGACGAACAATGACGCGCAGATGTCATTGCAACGTTCACGTTTGCTTCTGCCGCGCGTTAATTGGTTAACCCTTTGACTGCGGAAGGCGTACATATTAGTCCATAGAAAGTCAACATATATATATATATATCCAATATATATATATCCAATATATATATTTATATATAATTCCAATATATATATATTGGAATCCAGTAACGAAACGAAGTCCGGAGCCCTAAGTAAAGTGGATAAAATTTTTAAAAAATAACACCTTATAGAGAATGAAAAAATGAAAGTTCTTTATATTTACAATTTATTGATTCGACATTTAGTTTCAAATGTAACAATTAATTGTAATTAAAAACGTTGATTTCGACCGCGAACTTCCGTTGATACTTTTTAACGGTGAAAATGGAAAGCATCGTTAGCTGGCAGTTACTCGTTTGCAATTAAATATTAATCGGTTAATTTGACTACGTACCTATACGAAATTTGAAAGAATTCGAAAATGTAATGAAATTTCAGGGAAGAGGACTTCTAAATATTTAATTTTTATTTTCTAGACTAAACTAAACTAAACTGTAAATATAAGAAAGTTTCGTCTTATCACTCTCTATAAGGTGATATTTTTTAAAAATTGTTTTAACGCGGGCACTTAAACTACGATCGCGACCCTGTTCGAGCGACACACCCCTTAGAATTTCTAGCTAAAATCGACCCGCAGTCAAAGGGATAAAAAGCAAACGATGAATCGAAAGGACCGATTTCAGTTCATGAAAGCGATTGTCAACCACGAATGTAATGATTATGAGAACGTTAAAGTCCGCTGGAGCAGTTCGTTTCGGCGGATTTCGCTTCCCTGAAGACGCAATCCCTCGATATTTTCGTTGGCGCTTACATCTCGTAACACTATTTGTTACTCGACGATAGCAACGGACTGGCGGCGTTTGAGTATCCTTGGCTGCAGGTGGGTAACATAAATGGATTCATGTTGAATGGTGAACCGACAACCTCTCCTAGTCCTGCAACATACCCACTGTCGGTTATACGTTAGTGTAATTCATCGTGACTCGGTGAATACAGAATAGTCAATAAATTAAAATAATGTTAAAAATAATAGTTAAAATGATGCGTTAATGGGGGTGTTTGTTTTTAGAACTTTGGTTAAACAAGTCGATTTATTATTCATTGACATATAGCTTCATAATTATAAATATTTTCAACCAAGTCACTGATCGTCTTCTGGTACAATAATTTATATTAATTAATACCCATATAATAATTAACTTATATCGTAACACAGTTTACGTTAGTTAATATAGACTGTTATATATTTCAAAATGACCACTGAAATGGTACAAAGTGTTAGTGCTTACTAAGTTTCATGTCAATAAATAATATTATAGTTTCCATAGTTGTTTCTCGAAATATTTACTCGATTAAAAAATGGAGGAAGTAATTTTCAATTTATAAAGGTAGAAGAGAAGATTTTTTTGTAGTAGATATTTAATTGTTTCGCTATGAAAATAATATCCTTCTTTTTTCTATCTTCAGTTTGAAAAGAAGTAATTTAGTTTGAAAAGTATGTACTACGTCCACAGTATCTCTAGTTATATGCATTTAGATTGAAGGCTGGGGTGCATTACAAGATGAACGGGGATCCGTACTCGAGACGTCGTTCAGACACGTGCCAACAAAACGACCACACTAACGACACAGTAACGATCTTGTCGGCCAAGTGGCACTCTTAACAATCGGTGGCAATAAACGATATTACACAGGAGAGCACTTCCATTTCATGATAATAATAAAGCTTCGCCAAGGTTTCTTCTTACTTCAGCACACGACATCATTACGTTACATAATTGCAGTTTAATGAATTTTATGTAGCAATTTCTTCATCTTTTAAATCTGATTGTTTGAATTCGTATGAAGTACAAATATTGTACGAAATGATTTTTTATGATGATTTTTATAAACTTGTTTCACCTGCTATGAATTTTTCCGAAGTCACTGAACGTTTCAAAGCAACATATACCTCGATTACATAATCTTCCATCATAGACCAAGTTGCAAAGTAAAAATGATAACGTGACCGAATTATTAAAACTACTCTCTGATATCGAATTAGTCGAGGACGGGAATAGGTTATCAACGATTCAAACATGAACGTGTGTACATACATTCTCGAATCTGGTCTCTCGTGCATGTTTCTCATAATTCTTTAATCGCAGTGCATAGGGTGGTTGTGGTGGTGATGATGGTGGTTGTGATGGTGGACGGTTAGCGGTTACTGGGCGGCTGTGGCGAGGTGGTGCTGTGTGGACCAGTGCGGTGGGACTGAGGTGGTCGGTGGTCGTACTACGGGGGCGAACGCACTCCCGTCCCCGGACGTATAGAAAATGCCATACTGTTCGTGCGCTAAAACGAAAATTTCACATAAGGAAAAATCATAAAGTGCGTGCACTCAAACGAAATACTAAACGGAGACTAAACACAAGAAGCGCCGTGCGTGTTAGGACTTCGTGTGCACGTACCTACATGCATGCGTTCATAATGTAACGAAAATAATAAAATTCTGAAGCTGAAAATTACAAAGTATGTCTTGAAATATCAATGCTGCAAATACGTGGTGTACAAAATAGAAAGATTTTCGTAAATTTTTCGTAACTAGGAATAGAATTCGAAGTAACGTGAGTTCACGTCAACGGTCGCGAATGCGTTAATAATTTAGTCTGTTCCTCCCTCTAATTACAAAGATATAGTTGCATATACAATAGGTACGTGTTGACTTTGGTAGTTGAAACAAATCCATATAAAAATACTTACGTGACGTGTAAAGGGTTGGGCTACCGGTGTAGGGGTTAGCGACTGAATAGCTTCCATTGGTGCTGTGGCTGTGAGGTGTGCTGGCTGAACTTCCGCAATAACCACCACCGGTTACAACCCCACGTGGGCTTGCGCTACTGCTCTGCCTATAGGCGTCTACGTTACCACCGACGCTTCCTCCAACGCTACCACCGCCACCGCCGCCTCCAGCACCGGCTCCTGTCGTCACGGAACTACCGTCTAGAAATAGAAACCTGCCCGTCAGACGAACCCGTCAGTATTTCATCATTCTGTTAGCGTGTTGCCTAGTGCACTGGAACAAACAGCTAACGCGGAAACACGAATAAATGCGTTGCGCGATCCCTGCACACGAGTCGGATTTAGTTACGCAGAAAAAAAGGGACGTGGTGGAGAGCAATCTGAGCATTACAACGCTTTGAATGCGAAGTGGCGCTTTTGAGAAATATAGGAGGGTCACTCCGAATTAGGTTTTTTTTTTTGTGAAATTGAAGTACGATACGGTCCACGTATAATAGGGGATTGGGGCCAGTTTTGTGTCGTCATTTCTCTGGTTTGCGTTATTTTCGGTTGTTTAATTCATTCGCTGCTAGGCAAATTTAGAGTGTTTCATCTTGGACAAGATTTGATACAGATGTGTAATCAAAGTTATTAGTTCTATATAAAATTATAGAGAACGTTGGAAGAATATATTTCTTGAAGCTTCCTCTGCAAAATAAGGTTATTGATAATCGATTTCTACAGGTAAATGTCCATCTTGCTTTCACGCTAGATAGTAACATGTACATATTACTCGAATCCAATCTGCAGACGAAACTCTACAATAGTTTCTGAATATTTCCTCGTCGTTGAAAGAAGTTTGCACACTTCGGATACCGTGCTGAATTAATATTTAGAATAGTATTAACCTATGTTGCAGCGGTAATTCGCAATTAGCGCGACTCGATATTTCACCCCTCTAATTAAGTGGATAAAGTAACGAGTGCTTTCACGTACTGGCCATAGAACAAGTTTTAATATTTACCGTCTGTCCATTTCGCCGCACTACCATTCTCCTGTACCGCCACTGCAAGTTGCCCTGTATATGAATTGAACGCCGTCGCCGAACTGGAGGTGGGGGGTGCGGGTGGATGGCCCGATCCTGGACTCCTTGGGGCACCTGTGATTCCCGCGTTTCCGCTTCTGGGCATACTATATAAAGCTTCTGCAAGATCTGCCGCCCTTTTCAGTATAATTTCCTTCGGTAATTTCTCGGGGTCACCAGGATGTCGCGGAATAAGTTTCTGTAACCTTTGGAAGCCGTAGTCGATCGTAGGTTCATTTAGTGCTGGAAAATATGTAAAAGGGTTCATCGTTTTAATCGCGATACGTAACAGTTAACAAATTTAATTTCACGATACGGCATAGTGTTACTTTTTTGTTATTTGATCGAGAAAAATGTTTGATAACCTATTAGAATACATAGTAGATATACTTACAAACATAAACGAATCTACCAGGCGCCCCTTTGCAAAATTGTTTAGTCTTATAAGATAGTGTGACTTCAACAACACCTGGTATCTGCCTTGGCGGAGTTTGGACTCTGATTGCGTTTGGTGTGATCAACTAAAAACAAACAATTAACAGAGTTCATATACATGACTAACACACAATGTTATATATTCTATATTATTATTTTCCTTTGATTTGAAATATTGATTTTATTTATGTATCGCAAAAGTATTCTGACTTTGATTTTGGTCACTTATATGTAACATTAAATTACACACCTCGCTCCAAACCAACATCGACCCAAAAACTACTTGAAGTCCATCGAAGAAGTTTTCACCAATGATTATTACTGTGGACCCACCTGACGTCCATCCTTCATTTGGCGATATCGCTTTTATACACGGCGTTTGAAGAGGTACAGGTGTATAGAGACCTAATTTTGTAAAGATACAATGTTGTCAATAAATTATAGAATATTTTACTTATTCAATGTTTAGTTTGAGAAATTTGATACCCTATATAATAACGTAAAGTGACGCTGAAATATAATGCATATGTTGTGGTAGAAATTAGAAGTTGTAGAAAATTATTTAACGTTTTGTGTTAACTAACCCAAATGGATCATCTGGGGATTAGAAAACAATAACACACCGTGTCCACGGCGGAAGAAAATTCGTGAGAAAGTAAACCAAAAAATTACGCGAATTCCGTCGATTGTACGAGGTGAGCTGGGAAAGTTAGTTAGGGGATGGGGGGTGGGATACGGAAAATTATCTGAATATTCTGTTTATTCGGTAGAGGCCGAGTGGCGGATATATTTCCCGTGGCAGCGTGGCAAGCAAACTCAAGCCACGAGGATGGGAGAGCGTAAGAGAGGGAAAACGACAGAGAATCTATGAAGGAGAACGACATCACCGCGTAGAAAGAGAAAGAGCACCAGCAGAAGAGACTGAGGGCTGAGGGTCGGAGTGGCCGGAGAAGAGTTGTAACAAGAAGGAAGGGAGGAGGGGGGACGATCGGGCCGTTGGTGTCTCTGCTTGGAATTTATAACCCAATGATATCATTTTGTACCCCGGCGAAGCCAAGCTACCCCCGGTACCGACCCTGGTAGAGCGGAGCCACGGCAGAGTGGCTGACATCATGGTATATTGCTCCCAGTGATGCTCAAACAGTTTTCACCTCGGGTGCTTACGTGTAGTTCCGCTATTAAATCTCGAAGCCTTAAGAGATCTCGACAGTGGACATCGTGCTCAAACTGAACGTAAAAAACGTTTCTCCCTTTTTTTTTGGATATCTACGACGAACGTTGGCAATTAAAAATTAAATTCCTTCGAGTAAGATTTTAATAAATTTAGTAGGTGCAAAAGCATTGTATCCGTTGATAAACATAAATACAATTGCCTGCTCTGAGATTCTTAAATAAATTACTCTGATCGCTGTTAAATAGGAGCATTGATTTAATATTTCTGTAACGTGATATTTCATTTAGTTCTACACTTTGTCCCGTGTAAAGTAAGCGGCGACTTAAATACGCATGTACAGGCCAGCGTTAAAGAGTTGCAATTCCAATGTAAATGGAGATCCTTGAATGGGACGCAGGTATTTATTGCGTTCAATGTACAAGATAGTCGTTAAACAGAGTCAGCCACGTTGGCAACCACTCCGGTAGAGAATTGTCGGGCGAAATGGTATGGGGCAGAAATGTAGGAAGAGGTGGAGTGGAAGGAGGAGGGTTGAAAAGAGAGATTCAGTAGAGGAGGCCGGAACAAGCGTACCAACCCGGAATAAATAAAATCCCCCGTGCCATTACTGAGTGGTAAGGGGTGCTACTCTCTACCTCCGAACTCCTCTTTTACCACCAAACCGTCGTCGAAGTCGAGGAGCCGTTGTACTCCAACATGTTCAGTCCGATTCTCTCTGATCACTGCGAGATCGCGATATAACTTCGTTCACCCCGGTAAATACTTGAGAAGTTCGCCAGAAAAAGTTGCTTTCACTTTCACCGCGAACGGGTTCATTAAGTTGGTGTTTTATGATCAAGCTGCTTTCTCTTTACATAGACGATTTAAATGGTATGAATCAGTTTTCGATAGGAGATTCATAACTGTAACGAATGGCAAAGACAATAGTCGAATAATTTATCATCGGTTCCAACATTACCTGAAGAAATATTTACGTAGACAAAAATCTGACAAAAACTGAAGCTTTAGTTAAAAATGACAGAAATCCGCGTAATATAACTATTAAGTATGTATATATAAATAACCTGGTATTCAAACTGTATACTAATTTACAAATTATTCGTTGTTTAAGAAACATTCTCCATGTTCCGAATTAAAAAGAAGAATAGTCTGTTTCTATATGGGGCAACATGGACAACTTATTTGATATATCATTTCGTTATAAGGACGCGAGTAAATCCAATTCTATAAAGTATGCGCTAAGATGAAGTAAATCAGAGATGTCCAAGCTGAACTTGAGAGTTGAATTACGATGAATTTATCGTACGACCTAGTTGAGTGGTGGAGTATTCTCGCGCATGAACATTGAAAGTAACCTACTAATATATGAACCGCGTCGAAATGTGCCTATTGTTTACGCTATTCCAGCAGATGGTGAAGTAAATTAATCGTAATTGAAATCTCGATTAGCTTTCGAACCTCTGACACGAATACTTAATTATGCGTGTCATGTTAAATGTTCCTCCAAAAAAGAAAATACTAGTCAACGAGTAACCGATATAAACGATGTTTAACCCTAAAGTGCGCAATTTTTCAAATCGGAGCAAACACGAGTAATACTCTACCTAAAAAATTCTGATAGCAATTGTCAGATCTGGGGCAAAAATAATTATCTTCAACGGTGCTGTGACCTTTTTATAACGCAAATCGTATTTCTGTTAAGAACAGCGCATAAGCTGTTGTTTTTGCTGTCGTGTCCCAATAAAATATCAAAGAAAAATGCGGTTGATGCATACGTTCATCAATCCGCACTGTAGGGTTGAATAATATTCCAATTCTGATTTCTAAAACAGCCGAGGAAATTCCATTGTCGCTTAACAAAAACCACGGAACACAATTTCCTTTGTTCGTTTCCCCGCCTACCTTCCTTTTGCTCGATCTTTACTTTTTCCGCCTGCTTCTCGCCCTCCCTTTATTTGTACGTCTGTTACGACGAGGGTTGCCTGCGAGAAGATTTGGAAATGGCAGGGCCGCCATGGCGTCACAAGAGTTGCGAAAGTCGAGAGGATAGTTCGAGATATCTTAAACTTAGCATTCACAAACCAACGCGCCGCGGCAACCACTGAGAGAAGAGAGCAAGACATTAGCGCAAAAAGGAAGGAAACAGAGAAGAGAAAGGTCAATTTGGTTGGCTTTCTTCTTTCGTTCTTCCTTCTTCTTTGCTATTTGTTCCACCCTCGTCTTTGTGTATGGTGGCAACCAACCAGATAACAGGGAGAAGCGAAAAGGCGCGGTAGGGCGAAAAGAAAGCTTGGAACCTGTGGAGAGCAGAGAGAGAGCGAGAGAGAGAGAGAGAGAGAGAGAGAGAGAGAGAGAGAGAGAGAGAG